TGATGCAGTACACAAGCCGCGGTTAAGACAGCTGACTCTACTGTGATGTGACGCTGTCTCTCTCTCTCTCTCTCTCACACACACACGATGCGCAAAACTCCGCATTTGAACAGTCAATAGCAAATACTTAAACTAGTAACAAAACATACTTACAGTCGCTGATTCAGAAGCGCCAGATTGTCATAGCAAAGTCAGAATTACCTCCTCTCCTAGGTTCACGAAATGGTCGTCCATAAAATGCATTGCTGTTCTGTTGTAAGTGATCTTAAAGATTCCTAAATGCATCTACTTTCGGAAGGCCAAATAAAGTGTTTTTGCTTTCGCCTAGAAACACACAGCGTCTCTCTGACACGGCTGCTTCAACACTAACTGCGGTTACTGAAACCACGCCTTCTTTCTTTGCGTGCACATTTGGGTGCATTATGCAAATATTCGCACATAGTGACCTAGATATGTGGGGGCGTGTTAGAACGAGCCGTTTTAGGGGGGTGTGGAAGAGTCTTAACTTTGATAAAGAATATCTCCTTGGTTTTGAGACTTTAGTCTTTGCAACTTCAGGGATCTTATTTATTCACGAACAGCTTGTAACACTCCAAAGAGAAAGGAAAACTTGAAATCGCATCATATGACCCCTTTAAGCCTGCATGTGGCTAATTAGCATGATGCCAACCCAAACAGAGCAGCGTTAGCGTGTGAATGTAGGTTTGTGTACGTGTGAGGGGTGCAGGGGGTATTTAATGGCAGATTTCCAAAAGGGGTGTGGCTTAAATGCTCTATTTAATTGGCTAACCCACCAGCATCCAGCCTGCTAAACGGTTAATTAGCACATATGGGAAGACACGTGCACACACACACTCACACCTCTCAGCTGATTCTTGCACAGTAGAGATATTAGCAGCGTTTCGAGGAGGCAGCAGTTTTTGAGAAGTTAAGAGGGGAGAACGTGGCTGTGTGACTGTGGGTAGAGTAGCATGTCAGATGACAGCTGAATGTGCAGCCTTGATTTATTAAACTAATTTAAAAAGTTTTGCATTTTCTTCCCAGGCAGCAGGGCAGCGAGAGCGCGTTTCCCCAGCTTCGTTCATCCATGCCCCACTTCCAGCCCTGCGAGAGCTTGCTAAATAATAAATAAGGACGGGGGTGTCCTCCGTACGCGTTATAAAGGTTTAATGGAGGCGGTGCATTTAACCCAATTAATCCAAGAAGCACTCAATTAGAACGCATAGACTGGGCAGAGAAAAGGTCTCTATTATAGACAATGGATGCTAATGAAAAATAATGCACTGGCTTATAATACGTCAAAGAATGCAAACCTCAATCCAAACTCTGCTGAAGGGATCATTCACTCAAAATGAACATCCAACCATTATTTAATTACCTCGTGTCATTTTAAAGGGGTCATATGATGCGATTTCAAGTTTTCCTTTCTCTTTGGAGTGTTACAAGCTGTTCGTGAATAGATAAGATCCCTAAAGTTGCAAAGACTAAAGTCTCAAACCCAAAGAGATATTCTTTATAAAAGTTAAGACTGGTCAACGCGCCCCCACATGTCTACGTCACAATGTGGGAAGATTTGCATAACGCCGCCCAAATGTTCATGCAAAGAAAGAAGGTGTAATTTTATTGTTGCTGCCACCGCCGCCGCCATGCTGTGAAGACGCTGTGTGTTTCATTGCGAAAGCGAAAATACTTTGTTTGGCTTTCCAAAAGAAGACACGACTAGAAATCAGTGGTTAAGTTGTATTTACAACACCGTTCCAGAACACTTCAACCCAAATATTCAGGTGTGCGCAGCGCATTTTATGGAGGACTGTTTCCTGATCCTGGGAGAGTAGACTACAATGTTGGCTGTTCTGACTCACAAACTATAAGTACGTTTTCATATTTAAAGGATTTGCCACTGACGATTCAAACGCGAGTTTTGAGCAGTGTAGAGTAGCACTTGCTGTTTGTCATTTCTCTGATCACAAATGCAGACATGGTTTTATGTTTACGACGCACGATGCAATGCAGCACGTAAAAAGACAGTATAAGTCATTATAATCAGTAATTATGTCCCCACTGGATGCAACAAATG